CCATCCACTGTCTCATTAGTAAAGTTATTTCCTGTAGGAGTTCAGGTTAGCAATTCTAAAACCACTCAATTTTAATTGGACAACTAAGTAATTTAATCACCAAGGGTTAAAGTTCAGTTTCTTACTATTGTAGTAGGAGTTCCCATCAACAGGGGGAGACAGCTTGACTTAGATATGAAGAATATTGTATTTATATCTAGTTTTATAAAGGTATAAATAAACACATAAGGAAATACAGATATTTCTGTAATCAGAAGTTTGTATGGTTGTTATGAGCAGGTTTTCCTGCCAGCCTGCCTGGTCTGGTCCCACTGCAGCGCCAGCCCCGAATAACACACAAAGACACTGTATTAGGTATAATTCTGTTGGGCTGTTATTAGTTTCTTATCGGCTAGCTCTGTCTTAAATGTTAATCCATTTCTATTAATCTAAGTGTTTCTACATGGTCTCATCTTACCGGAGAGAGGGGCCGGCCTTCGGCTTTCTTCAGTATTTCCAAGCTGACCCTCCTTATTACTTCCTCTTTCCTTCTAGTCTCCTAGTCCCACCTATCTTGCTTTCCTATTGGCCAACAGTGCTCTACTCATTAACCAATACGAGAAACATTTTTACAGAATGACATCTCCCATCATGTGGTGTGTACATATATGCATTTGCTTGACCTGCTATGTGAGGGAGATTAGAATTAGTGACAGCCCAATAGTCATAAACTCCCCAGAGTAAAGTTCTTGTTTCCTACTACCATTGCCCAATAAAGGGAATCAGGGTTTTGAATAAATTGCTAATTCCATGTCTAACGAAATAAATACATGATATTTCTAGTGGTTATTATAATAGAAGAAATTAAGGAAATACTAAAGAAAATCCATGTAATTATGTCAAAGGGATACAGATGGGAATGAACAGTCTCCCAGAGACCAAAACTGAGACAGCATAAACAATATAATCACTAAAGCCATAATGGAATGGAATGTAAAATGAAATATAAATACATAGATATATACTTATATTAATAAATTATTTTAAAAGAACAGATGATTATCTCATATGGAAAAATCCCATATAATTAAGAAGTTGACTCCAACTTTGATAAGATGGAACATAAAACTCCTCTTCTTTATGTGTACTATGCATACTGACTTTCTTGCAACAAGTAGCATGGTATTGGAGAAAGCTGACAGCAAAGCTGCTGCCAGGTGCACAAGGTCAATGCTGGTAGTCATGTTGATAGCTGATAACAGGTACCCTTGATACTACGTGATAAAAATGGCACTTTACCTCTGTAGTTCTCTTAAAACTACATGCCCCAAGTTTAATCATAAGAAAACAGATGAATCCCACATGAAGGACATACTACATAGTAACTGGTTTACACTCATTGGAACTGTCAGGGCCATTAAAATAAAATAGAATGAAAAAAAAGACTTGTCATAGCCAGGAAGAATCCTAAAGAATATGGTGATTAAATACAATGTGATAACTTGGATTTGATTCTAGAACTGAAAGGGAATGTAGCGCTCAAACTAAGGAAATGTGAATAATGTATGGGTTTATTTTAATTAATATCTATCTATATTAGTTAATTTATTGCAAAAATATACCATATTAATCTCAGAGATAAAGAAGAGACAAAACTTGTATGCCATACATAAACTTCTCTTCACAACCCTAAAACTATTTTGAAATAAAATTTTACTTTAAGAAGACATTATTCATAAATGTTAGTCATAAAATATCTTCTTTGTTCAAACTTCCTAGGCTATCTTCATATATTATTATTAAAAGTAATGGAAAGCTCTTCATGTACTTCAAAACTATGTGGTAATTTCACAGATAAGTACATTATATTTAGATCACATTCATACACACCCATGCTCCACCCCTCTAACTCTTCCCAGACCCACATAAACATACCCTCCCAATTCATGTCTTCTTTCTTCTTAATAACCTGCTGAGTCCAACTAGTGCTGATTATGCATGCATAGTTACAGGGCTCTTTGTTGGAACCTGAACAACCTACAATGGGTCACACCTCTGAAAAAATATGACTCTTCTTCTCCCAGTAGTCATCAACTGTCAGTTCCTCAGCTAGATGTGGGTCCTCATGTATTGAATTATAGCTGACCTGAAAGAAACTTCACAGGGACCCCCCCTAACCATCTTACAAAGCTTTTGAGACATCAGTTACATGCTATGGTCACAAATTATTTTAAATTACAGTAGATACAAAAGCAACATTGGATCAAGCAAGCTATTTTCTCTTAAAGATAAGGCCTAGATACTTTTGTTACCCACAGAAGACTAACAGGCTTCTCCAATGAAGGTCCTGAAGGAACTGATTTATCTTTGTCTTCTTTATGTGTAGATTTCCCTTTACCACTTACCATAGGTTCTTCTGTGTGACCATGGGTGCAAAACTATCCATTGGCTGCTGGTAGGGTCTTTATTTAGCATGTAACCAAAAACAGTGACTATATCTTTCCCAGTTGTCAGTAGTAAGCAGAGAAGGATAGAATCTCATGAACATTTCTTAACCCATGTAACTGTTGATAGGGCTAGTCCTAATCGGACCCACTGCAAACACAACTTTGAGATCATGTTCACAATGGTTGTATCATATCTTAAAAGACAATATTTCACAGCCAGCCTCCCTATTTTCTGCCTCTTACATTATATTCCTCTTCAGCATTGTTCCCTAAACCTTAAAGGGGTTCCATAAATGTACCATTTACACTAAGCACTCAATTAACGTTTACTCTAAGCGTCCGAGCACCCATGAGTCTCTGCATTCAATGTCCTTTACTGAAAAAGGAAGCATCTTTGATAAAGGCTAAAAGTATAAAATAAACCATTTTATGATATCTTATTCTTTATGGACTTCCCTTCTGATTTATTTTGAGGTGTGTTTTAGCCATAATAAACTGTGGGTGAGTATATGGTTCCTTTTAGAGAATTATTTATTGAGGTTTGTTGTGGGGTGGAATAAATAAAATTTCTAAATGTGTTCTCAGTGTCAGAAGAGACATTGATCTGTTCTGGGATTTTCCCTAACTCTGAAATTCACTAACTTCATAATATCCAATAAAAACCATTATCTACACGCCTTCTGACAAGAATGAATCTGTGGAGACAGGCTACAAGCAGGGTAAGGGATATATTCCCTTCTTCTCTTCTCTTTTATTTTCTCCTCTTCTCTTCATACCAACTCTGGTCCCTTTAGCACTAAGGAGCAGGAAGAAAAGAGAAGGAAAATCCTTTTGGGACACTGATGCCACCTACCCTGTGCCATCAACTTGTATAGTAGGCATTATGAGCTGCTCAGATGTAGGTCTTTGGTACCCACAGGTGAATCTGTACATTGACAACACAGCACACCATTTCCAGCTGCTGGGATCCAGTCACTCTAGAGTATTCCACAACAGGACACAGTCTCAAAATCTTTGCACACTCGTGACAAGCGCCTTGTCATGTCTCCTCCCTTTTCCCACAATGGGAAACCCCAGGCAATATTCTGCCTTGAGAATGTTTCAGCAAAGTAACAAGCCTTAATCTTTTATTCAACAAGAGCACATATCTTCAGTAACAATATGACATTCTCTCTCCAGGCCCCCATACTCTGTCCTTCTTTAGAGAGAGATTATAAGTGAATCTCAGCAGGTATGGACAGTGTGAGAAGAATGTGGATCCTCTTGGCTTGCAGACATGATCTGTCAGTGCTCCTTCTACCAGTTGAGGTTCTTTCTAGAAAAGAAACCTACTAACTGCAGAGGCTATAACATCTACAGCATATGCTGCCTGCGTGGAGATCTAGAACAGCTCATCCCACCACTCCAATCTGAATGTTGTCAGCCAGCAGAATCACTTCCATAGAAGGAGATCCATCCATGTTACTGCTCATGCCTTCAGCTCATTGGTTGATGCTCACCCACCCACATTTTCAAAGGCAATTTATTTACTTAAAGTCCACTGACTTGAATCTTAATATTATCCTAAACATCTTTACAAAAGCATTCAAAGTATTTTACCATATTTTTGGTTAAGATGTCTCAGCCAGACTGATTCTCCCTCCCTCTCTCTTTCTCTCTCTCTCTCTCTCTGTTTCTCATTCTCTTCCAGTGACTCGGACAGGAAAAGATTCTCCTTTTTAATCTATCCCAAAAGGGATGTAATATTTATTTTCAAGCTCTTTCTCTAGTTCAATTGTGTATTGCCTTTCTTTGACTTTTTTTTTTTTTATGTCAGACAAGTCCTCTGGAATGTCTAGAATCCTCTTTATATAGTTTTGTTAGGGATGGTGGCAATGATGTTAAGATTTATATAAGAGTTCAGAAAGTGTACAAAGCTTAAATACAAGGTCTGGGGTTTTGCAAAGTGTAGACATGCCTGTGTTGTTTAGCTTGAGAAATGTATATATGCTTTGTAAATGCTCATTAAACATGCTCTTTTGCATTTATTTATTTTTTTAAAGTGTTGTAAATTCCTTTACTGTTAATCTCTTCCCAGTCCTTCTATCACCCCCAAATCATGTAGGGTCCAGTCTTTCAATTCCTAATCCCTTTCCCCAAAGGTGCTACCTCCTACCCAGGCAGCTGAGGGGTGGGGGCAAGACTGGATTGGACCCCTTTTGGCTCTCCCTCCCCCAGTCTGGAGCCAGGAAGGCATGGTGACAGAGGGGTGGATAGATGGATGGCATGAAGGCTTGAGAAGGTAGGATCAAGAAAAGCACTAATCTAGGCTGAGCATGTTTCTCCTGACATGCTCTCTGTATGTGGGAGAGTCAAAGGCAGGACTGGTCAGACCTGCTTTATCTAGCAGAGGCAAAAAACCAAACCAAAACAAAAAAAAAAACCTTTCTGGAGTAACCCAATTAAAGTGGGCTTTTAGCAAGGCTGTGCCTAATGTTTTAAAGCTGTTGCTGTGATCATGCTCCTAGCTCTGGTTCTCCTTCAAAATGGTATCCAGGGATGGAAGGGAAAAGCAGCCTCTGCCTGCCTTTAACTATTACAGGCTGTACCAAGAGAGCAGCCAGCCTGGGGCAGGAGCCTCCAGATCCCAAGGGTGGCTGACCCACACATCATAGATGCTCTTGTTGGGTGGTACTCCCTGGAAGAGGGAATCTAGATCACAGAGCAGGTCTTGGGACCCTTGGGATTCAGTACCTACACTCCAGTAGGTTGGACTGGTTGAAGATGGGCACTGGGGACAAGAGGTGGGAGGTAGTGTGGCCAAGGGCATTACTACATTGGGAGTGTAGATGGGCAAGTAAGAGGTGGGTAGCTGACCCCACAAGGAAGCTCTGCATCCACTGTTGGTCATTCCCATGGGATCTGGGGATCCCTCAAGTAAGTGGATGGGCCAGGTTCCTTGCTCTGGGGAAAGAGAAGGCCTGATGACCTCCCCTTGGGAAGTCTCCCCCTCTATTCTTGTGGGTCCAGGAAGGGAGCAGAGGGGCCACAGAGGCTTCTCAGAGGAGTTAGAGGGTACAGTACACACCCCTTCCTCCCCCTTGGACCAGGTGCGTGCCTGAGCTGAGCTGCTCTGTTCAACTAGCGAAGGCTGCTGGGGCAGTGTTGGTCCTTTCCCAGGGTCCTCTAGCAGGGACTTGATGCTGAAACCCTCCCTGGATGGTGGTGAGGGAATGAGCGGCCGATAAGGCCGGCCATGGAGTACGTAGGGGCTCAGGTCCTTGACGAAAGTTCTGTGTGTGCCCCGGGTCTGCCATCGCCGGCACAGGGCAGTATTCTGAAGGCGCAGCGCCTCTGCTGGGATCAGGCTCACATCTACCGCCCAGAAGTTGCCCTTGGCCTGGGGCTTTGTAGGCCTGGGCACCTTCCGGAAGCACCGGTTAGAGGAAAGGTAGTGGCGGATGGAGTCCTTCCAGCCTTCGTAGTCATCCCTGAAGAAGGGAAACACTGCCTGGACCTGACGGATGATCTGCGCCAGCTTCAGCCTGTGGAAGGGTGCGGCCTGAATTACCAAGGCGATCATGGCCAAGTTGGTGTAGGGGGGCTTGTCATGCCGCAGATATCTCTTCTTCCTCCTCTTGGTGGGAGACTCTGCCTTTGAAGGCCTCAGATGAGAGTTGTTGCAAGGCCCCATGCAAGGGAAACAGCCCTGGGCTGGGGTCTGGCCTAACGGGGGGCTCAAGGCAGATGGACCGCTCTTTTGCATTTAAACAAAGATATTCAGTACAATGCACTGACTCCTATGAGAAGGCAGTGAAGAGTAACTTATGGCTACATACAAAGGTGTCAAAGACAGATTTAAAAACATTTGCAAAGTATGAGGAGTAAAATCCATAAAAGTTGAAACCCAGTGAGATGGCTGGGCAGGTTAAAGCACTTGTCTCCATATGATGAACTGATGACCCACGTGGTAGAAGGAGAGAACCAATTCCCATACATTGTCCTCTGGTCTTCACATGCAGGCCATAGTACACATGTGTTGCTCAGGCACATGTATGCACTCCACATTTGTGGGCACACACACACACATACAAACACACACACACATACACACACAATCAAACAATGTAATAGAAATCAATTTAAAGCTAAAGAATCAGTATCTTGGAAATAACTATAAAATAAGGGGGAAGAGAATGTTTTCCTAGAATGAGGTGAAGGACAACTAGAATGACAGATGTGTTTGAGAGTGTGTGTGAGAGAAACTTTAATGTTTTATGCATCTGTTTAAATATAAAAAATTAAAAATAAGAGTTATCTACATTAAAATACACAAGAGTGAAAAATGGTCTGGTAGCACTGTAAGATCATGTGCTCAAGTGAGCAAATAAGTGATCAAGAAGAAAAACTGAAACTAGAAATGTACTCAAAAGTTAAAGATTTTGGTAAGCCACAATAGAGAATTTATTGTGGAGTCAATGGGAAGACATCAAACAGTTTTAAGAAGTAATTAACTATCTGTAGACAGAGATGACTACTAAAGTTCAAGGATGATAGAAAATGGAAACAATCACTGTTCCATTATGTTGGTTTCTGTGAATACAAATAATAATAATAATATTCTCCAAATTCCCAAAGTTCACACTTTAATGACAAAAATTAGGTAGTAGCACTAAGAAAATGAACAACTATTAAAGTTGTTCTTCTGTTTGCTTTACGAATACAAACACCTTAAGAGAATGTGTTTACTTACATCTTTGCTCATATTTCTATATATTGTTGCCTAATATTACTTTATCTTATGAATATAAATCTAAAAGCTTATTTAGTTGATCAAAAAGATACAATTCAAGACTAGAGAGATGACTCAGTGGTTGAGAGTACATGTTGCTCTTGCAAGGGACATAGAGTCAGTTCCCACTATACACATGATGCCTCATAATCATCTAAAATTACAGTTATATACTCTTCTGAACTCCATGTATACCAGAGTTCACACATATGGTACACATACCTAAATGCAGGCAAAATGTTCACACACGAAATAAAATAAATAGTTTAAAACATACAATTTGGCATAGTCCTAAAGCATTTGGAATACCTATCTGACATGGGAAGGTTAATAAAGTGTATTGCTTTGAAAGATGTAGGCAGAAAAGGGACAAAATCAGGCCTGTTTATACTTTCAGGCCAAAACTCATGTGCCTGTACCTGTTCCTCCACTTTGGAGATGCTATGCAGCCTGTTCAACATCTACCTACTGTCTCCTGTGAACCTGAACAGAAAATGCTAAGAAATCTTTTTTTCAATCATACTACTGGAGTCCAGAATCATCTATCTTTTCTATTACTACAGGAACTTCCAGAAAGTTCCAAGGATTGTTAACAAGTATGGGATTGTTGGATCTAAAGCAGCAAATTAATCTTCCTATGTCTGAAAACTACATGCCATTGGTAGAGCATTGGCACCAAGACAGCTGGCAAGAGCATCTCAAGAAGGTGGATTTGAGATTTGAACCTTGCAAGATAAGACAGAGAAGAAACGTAATGCAATAGTACTGAGAAACTAATGATAAGGAAATAGTTCTTACCATGCTCTTTTTTAAAGTTCTATTTCTTGGTCATCACTCCTAAATTTTTAATGACAGGAGTCCCCTTAACACACTTCATAGAAAATGAGTGTTCCTAAAAAGAATAGGAACTTTTGTGTCCCCTGACTAGAAAATAAGATCAGGGTATCCATTAAAGACAGTCATCTGAGAAGCAGCTCAGTTGTGGGCATTGCCCTCTCACTAGTTGCAGCAACTACACTATAAATATAAGTAGTGAGAGAACTTACTGGTATGAACATGAGTAAAGGTGAAGCTGTAGTCTATGAACTGAAATTTACTCCTAAATTGATTAAGATCCAAGAACAGCCACACATGCCAGGTGACCTGGCAAGAATCCGCCAACTATAATTACATTTCTGTAGATATTAGTAAGAATCAGCGGCCAGTGATCAATGGTTTGTCTGAACCATTCTAGACTTAGAGGCCTTTAATTCTGGTGGAAATGACAATAGGGGGGTCTCAGAAACATCACAAAGTAGAGAGTGCACAAAATTCATTGTCAGATCTGCATTCAATTAGCATCAGCAATGAGAGGGTCAGGGTAACCCTGTCTGACAGAGTGGAAACCTGACTTGACACAGTTTGTCAATAGGAACTACCTCATGGTTCTGCCACCTTCCTCCTGACCTGTTCATCAGTGGGGCGCTGTGCTGAATATCCATTACATTCCTGCCTGCAGTCAGAAATGCTCCTGGCCTCAAAGTTGTTCAGGTTTTGGAATACTTGCATAGACTTCAGTAGCTGAACACGACAAACCTAGAAATTCATGATGTGAAATACTTTGAGGGTCAGGTCAAAGATCAGAAAGTTTCCATTGTTAAAGCATTTTGGATAACATATGTACTCTCATGAGAGGGGATTGAGAAATGAAGGCCAGCTTGCCTTCAAAAAGCCTATTCATGAATGGTGCACATGATGTCACTAAATAAAAGTATAAGCTATGAGTTAAATATCGTCATACTTCCAAACATGCCATGAAGCTGTATATAACTACCAATACATTTATTGGTTTACTTAATAGTCACTGAGCTACTAATTATTTCAAAACAACAGCTAATCATTCTGGATATGTAATACCAGCTCTCTATCTCTACTTAAAATTTTAAGGAAAAATTCATAAGAAAAAGTGAAAATCTTTGTCTTAACTCTTCCTTCTTTTGTAACACTACAGTAGAGAGCTAATATCCATTAACTATATTAAATCTGGTCCTGGTTTAATCCAAGTTATACATAATGTTAGTAAAGGATTGTCCCTTTAACCAACTGAAATGTCATTTATCCCAATATGAAGGTTCACTGGAACCATGTCTTCAGAGTTAATTGGTATTGATTGCTTAGCAATACATCTCAAAGACTTGACAGATATTCTGAGATCGATTTTTCTCTAACTGCTAGAGGAACTCAGAAGTCCTTTTTGCAAACATTAGCTCGCTCTGGAATATATAAAATCAAGTCATCATTTTCCAGTGTCTTAGAAAATTACACTATGGGTAGGAGTTTTGTTTTTTGTTTTTTATTTTTATTTTTATCCCAAACCAGCACTTTGATTGTATTTTAAATAACCTTTATGTGTTGTTTATTTTGTATCTTTTCCAATACAACCATCCATTACAATGCTTTTGTTTTACTTCTGCAAACACACATTGATGAAGAGATAATGAGGATATTTTGCATGATTTCTTACCTGTGGTATATCTGTGTATTAGTGGCAAACTAGATGTGACTAACTGAAAAGAGGGGAAAGCATTCATTCTTTAACAAATACTAAATGAGTTCCCCCATGGTATCCTGGATCCTGTGCTTGGAAATGGATACTTCTAGGTGCACACAATCTCTGCTTTGAGAATATCCTGCAAAGCTGAGTGCTTGAAAATGTGAGAAGCAAGAACAATGCCAAAACAAAAGCAGGGCAAACTGTGCTAATGGAGCACTCCAACTTTTATTTCCACTGTGGGTCAAGAGCTTTCCCCTTCACAGTTTAAATAATGCCTCCATTACTTCACCCATAGCTGTTCCAAAGCAGACCCAAATTTTGAGTATAAAAATGCATCTGCCTAAATATAGTATAACAAATATGTTTTTGTGAGTATTCTTCCTAATGGCAATAGAAGAAGAGAACAACCTGACCTTTCTAAGAATGTCTGAAACATCTGGACAAATAAAGAGAAAGGAAAAGGTGCAGACACTATAATTACACCGAAATAAATTGTTTAAGCATGATCTTAAAGCAGCTTGGTCAAACAGCTCAATACCATTTCCCAAGGAGTACCTGGCTACAAACTTGGAAAAATAAGAATGGTTAAGTCAAAGAGCTTTGCAAGGTTTTTAGAATAGTACCATGATTGAAGGAGTTGACATTAAGCAAGGTTCCAGGACTGAACATGTCAGAGTCTTGAACAAGAACTGATACACCTCCTACACATAGGAAATCATCAGAGTAGTGAGTGCTGTAGGAAGTGATTGTGTCATCTTTGCACAGAAAAATGTCAAGATGGTGAGACCCATGAAAGTAGATCCATCCTCAATACATGGGGAACTTTCAGAGTGGTCAGCCCTTTCCTACCCAGAATTGATACATTCTCTGTGGAAAAAACAGAGTAGTAAGTTCCAGTTGAAAGCAAGCATGAAGCATGGAGAAACTTGGGGTAGAAGAAAATACCCACAGGAACATGATCTGCTTCAATATTTGTGTAAGAGTAGTTCAAACAGAATTAGTTATCAATAAAAAATGCAATGTAAATTCGTAATAAATAAATAAATGGATGGGAGCTGATTGTTTGGCAATAAGTCTCTAGAGATTCCTGAGATCATAGTATACCTGTACACACTGTGTTCCCTAGGCAGGTTCCTACACTTTTCTGTGCCCTGATTACTTGCCTTTGAACAGAGCAGCATCCTTCACCTCATACTTACATTAAGAACTGAAGGCTGCTATAGGTGTATATACCTATTCAGGTGCCTGGCACACAATACAGGACTCCATATACTAGTGTTATTGTATTTTTATCCTAGAAAGTTGGTATATTGATAATAGAAGTTGAGTTATAAACAGTTTTGTACCATCATGTTACTTTGAGAATTTGATAATGCTGATAACA